TATGATTCAATCTATTTCATTAATTAGACTAATGTTATTATAATCACAAAATAACAAAAAAAAAAGAAAATTATATATTGTTATTAATAAAAATAGAACATTAAAACTATTTTAAGAATATAAAAAAACTAAAAATTAATTTTCAGATTCATGTCATCAACACAAACACCAGGCGAACTTGAAACAATTAGAAAATATATAACACCAAGTCTGAAAGAATACAAAGGGTTTTCAGTTCCTGATATTCAACAATCAACACCAAGTAATAACAAAAACAAACCACACATAATAACACCATGTGGGGAAATAGTTGATATAAATTATATTATTGACGCTAAAAATGTACCACACAACTTATCAGCTATTCCATCTCGACCACAACCTGATAATTATTCTACATTTGAAGAATATGAGGCTGCTTGGATAGAATGGAAAAATAAAACAGAAGCCTTTGCATCATATTACAGATTACCAAAACCTATTGGGTCTGAGCTTTATGTTCCATCTACAAGTAATCTCCCATTAACTAAAGACCCATGGGATTCAATTCTTATTCCATCTGAACCAAGTGTTGCAGATTTTGATTCATATGAATCATATAGAAGTGCTGTAGAACGATGGATTAAAGAAGTTTCAAGCGCAGGGTTTCTTCCACCACATGCATCAGAAATTGAAGCGGCATTAATGGTAAAGATGTCAACAGAAAGAAAATCAGATGTAGCACAATTAACAGAAATTATGTCAGCTGAGTATGAAGGCTTTCATGAAGAGCACTTATTTACACAAACAACTGATTGTTTCAATATTTCTAATTGTGCTAAACAACCAGTTCGTAAGAGTTATATTGCTAATTCTAAATTTAAAGATGAACTAAGAGGTGCAATTGCATTATCTAAATTAGAAAATACTTTTGTTGTTCCTGAGAAACAATTTAATGAACCACAAGATGTTCTTGTTGCACAAGCAGTTGGTATTTCATTAATGAATATCCTTACAAGAAAAGCTCAAAATAAAGAGGAAAAAACAGCTAAAGATGAATTATTGTTTAAAGCAAATAAGGCTTCTTCTATATTTGATGTTATTGTTGAAGCAGCTAGATTAAGTGAAAAGAATCCTAATAAATGTTCATTAAAGAAAGATGAAAATATTACTATTGCCATTAATACCGTGAAAAACGAACGACCTGCATTTAATGCAATGTATAAATTATTATTCTTCCCAATGAGTATTAATGACTTTAATGCTGTGTTAGATACAGGTATAGAAGGAAGAACAATTAGAGATATATTTAAAGAATGTTTAAATTCACCAAATATTATTTGGTTCTTTAAATTTTCATTACAAACTATTTGTCCATTTACTCTTGCTAAATTAGCTTCATTTGGTAAAGAAGTACTTCTTCATTATGGTAAAACTCCTATTGCACAATTTATTATTGGAAATAAAGAACTTTCCATGAATGAAAAACTTGAAACATTATACGCTGCCTCAAGACTTGTTGCATATGGAAGTTATGATGTTTTTGAATTACATTTTGATTTAATAGAACAAATGAAACAACTTATCCCATGTGGAGATACTATTGAAATGATTCATATGACATATTATCTTTCTCTCATTGCAAATAGTACATCTAAAGAATCAAATTTAAAAGACCTTGTTAAAAGTAGTGTTACAATGTTGTCACAAAAAGATAGTGACATATTAAAATTATTTAGTGATATTCCTGAAGCAATGAAAGTACCAGAAATTGCACCATTAGCTATGTTCTGTTTACAACAAATAATTGGAATGGGAGATGTACAAGTAATGAGATATTTACAAACATTAAAACGATTTAGTACAACAGATGTTATTCAAAGAATTATCAAAACAGAATATTATTATTCTAGTTATTGTGCTCATTTAGTTCTTCAAAAAATTATGTGTACAAAAGATTGTCGTTGTCAATTACTTGAACAACTTACTTCTCATGATTCATTGTCTTCATTTAAATTAATGATAAATTCAAGAACTCCTGATGAATTTATACAAATAATTTGTCAAGTAGTAAGATTTGCAATCAAAGAGTGTGCAAGAATTACAAGTAATGATGCTTTTTGGAAAGGATTTACTGGTGATTATTTCTTTGCAGATATTTGTTTACCAATGTTAAAAGAAGCAGTAGATACTGATAATGAAATATTTATGAAAGAAATAATTAGTGTAATTAAAACATTATTAAAACAAAGTCTTCTTAATGATAAACTTGGAAGTAATTGTACAGGTACATCAGAAAAATTTGAGTCACTTGAAGTCTCATCAGGAAGTCTTGATAATATTATACAAATTGTTAATAAGATTGTAACTGATCCAACTATGAAAAAGTATCATAATAAAACATTATTTGCTCATTTGATTGATTGCCTTAAATATATTTATTCTGTTCAAGAACAATGTGAATTAATTTCAGATAATAAACGATTATTTGTTAATGTAGCTATTTCTTCTTCTGTTCGTGATATGAAAGAAAAAATAGAACCAAAATTATTAAATTCAATTTTAGATATGTATGCTACTATTCTAAGAGTACTTGGACAACATCCACCAAAAGAGCCTACTCCAAACCAACCATTAACTAGTGATGAAATAGCTAAACAAGGACAAATGCAAGATTTCTTTGAAAAATTATTTACTGCAGTTATTAGAATGAAAAGTAAATCAAGTAATACTAGTAAATTATGGAATTATGTAAGTTTCTATGCTAAAGAAGCTAGTGTTTATCATTGTAAAGTTATATTACGTTTTGTCTTTAACTTAATTCAAATTGCATTTACTTCACAACATAAATTACTTACTGATAATATTAAACGATTCTTAGCTGAAACTATGTTTGAAGAAACTACCGCACTTAAAATGTTAATGCAACAAGTTGGTAATACTGATATTACTGCAAGAGATATTATGTCATACAAGAAAGGATATAATTGTATTTCTTATCCAAGTGTTATGAGTGTAGCTGGAATTATTTCTGTTTATCAAATTAATAAAAAATTAGTAAAGAAATTAGGAGAAGGAAAAAATCAATACGTAGACATTGTTGCAGAAACAGGAAAGAAAACTGTTGATTCTAAATCATTAATTCTTTCTGTTGAAGAAACAAATAAAATTAGAAAATTATTTGTTTGTGATAATGGTAAAAGAATTGACTCATTCATTGAAACAACACAAAAAGAATAAATGAATTGAAGAAAATTCATTAAAATTATTTTTTTTTAATTCTTTTTATAAAAAAAGAAAATATGAAAGAACAATTAATTGGTTTGAAGAATTACATTTCAAAAGAAACTTTTTATAAATAGCAACAATTAAACAAAATTTTACTTATTAACAATAACGTCTATTGTATTAATAGGAAACTTTTGATTTTTTGAACGTCCAAATAACATTAATTCAAATTAGAATAATGAACAATCTACTCTATTCACAACAAGAATGAAATAGAGACTATTTGTTTCCTTCATTTGATGTACCATAAAGAAGTGAAGAAAGAAATTCATTTTTAGAAGAAAGTCGAAAAGCCGTTCTAGTAGAAGCAGTTCTATGATATAAGTAATTAATAATTTTTATTCCACGTTCAAATATTGTTTTAATATTAAGAAGAAGTTTATTATTATAGTATATTGCTGTAACATTCTCTAATTTCAAAACTCCTTTTTTCCCTTCAACATATTTAGACTTAAAGAGATATCCATATTCTCTTAGTATATCAATTAATAAATGAATTGTTTCAATACGTTTATAATTTTGTATTCTTCTAGTAGCTGTTCTTACATCTGAGTTCATTTTAATTTCATGTTCTTTCCTTTCATTGCATCTATTGTTAATGAATATAGAGACGTTAATAGAATCTCCTTGACTGAAATTAATTTTTATTACTTTAATAAATTGTTGAGTAACAAGACATTTCTTACTTGGCTTATTTATTTCTATAGTACAATGTTGTGCAATTAATGCGATAAGAATACCTTCTACAGCACATTGATAATTAGTTGCTTTGTATGACTTCTTTAATTCATAACTCTCTTTAGTTTTATGATTTGGTGAACTTGCTTTCATCTTAAACACTTAACACTTTAAAATACTTTAAAGTTCATTGAGTCTTTGAATTCTAAATTACGTATAATCTTCGATCTCTTTTTTTTTCATACAATTTCTTAATTTGGATATCTTATTTGCTGGTTTTTTATGATTTTTTCCATCAAAAAAAAATCGTGATGTGTCGTCACGTTATTAGTTAGATATTCCTTTTTTAGACGTTTTCAATTTTTTAGAGTTGTTTAATATATTTTGTTTTATAGTACAAAATATAATATTAAAATAAATAAAAAAGTTCAAAGTTATTATTCAATTCCACAATCCTCTTAAGAATTCAACAAATTTAGCAAAAAATGATTGGTATTGGATAAAAATGAGATTGGTCTTTGACGCTTGGCTGATACGTTGAAGGTTCATGAAAGTTGGAATGTCAAGAGTTTCACATGGCTTGCCATCAATAATTATTCTTCTCATTAATAATAAATCTCTTGCACTTTCTCTTGAAACAAATTTAATTTTTACTCCAAACTCTCCAGCATCTTCAATTCCAATAACCTTACCATAAGGTTGAATTGCTTCAAGAATCTCTGGTGTTTGTTTCATAGAACAATCACGAAGAATGACAGAATCTTCTTCATTAATATTTTGTGGTAATGCACCAAATGTAGAATTAGAATTAAATGTATTTAAAAAATCGTTTTGTTTTATAGAGAATGACTTTCTTGGCTGGGGTGTTCTTAACACACTTTGTTTTTGTCTTGCAATATCATCTAATAAAGACATTCGAGGTACATCTGATTGAAAATCATAATGGTTTGATTGCTCATTAAAATTTGGTTGAAATAAAGGTGTTCCAAATGATGTACGATTTCCATGTGTTGATACCTTCATTTATTTTTCTTATTATTTTTTTTGATTATTCTTTTATTATTTTCAAGTTCTTTTTTATTTTTTCTTTTTTAAAAAAAACCCTGTCTTTTTTTGTAATAAATAACAATATTAGTTTGAACTAATAAAACTTTCTTGTTCTTCAGTTGACTCAAAAGGAGAGGTTATTGGTTGAATGAACGTCTCATCTTCAAAAGACCGTTTCATTGGCTTTGTGCATAATTCATTATTTTGAATAATCCTTTTGAAAAAGTAGTCTCTTTGTTGTTGTTTAATATTATTTGTATTAACATAAATTCCCTGATGAAGTGTAATATCATCTTGGTCAGAAAATTCATCCATAAGATGAGGGATAGTAACTTCAGGATAATTGAATAATAAAAGATTAATAGTGTTATTATTATCAAAAAATTGGTCATGATTTGGTTCTTCTTCCATTTTTTATTATTAATAAGTTCTCTTACCAAAACAAAAAGAACAATAAAGAAAGAATTAATTTGGTTGAAGTAAACGAAGATATGTGATTTTATCAGGAAGAACATAAGGGGTATAGTATTCATAATCAAATTGTTGAATAAATGGTCTAGTTTTACGATACTTTGAACCATATTTCTCTTCATTTCTTTCTATTACAGCTATATTCTTTCCAGTTGGATACCACATTTTTGTTAATGAACTTACACAATTTACACAAATTGGAATTTCTTGTGGATTAATTTTATTTCTCATACAAACACTGACATTAATTTCCCCTATTCCTAGAGACTCAACTCCATTTCCAATTAACGGGAACCAATCAGTCATTTCTACTCCCATTGGAAGATATTGTAATTCAATATTAGCATATCCATATACAGTTTCATTAAATGTATGTGATTGGAATACTTTAATAAGAACATTCATTCTATTCTTTGTATTTCCAGTTAAAGTAATTTCATGAATTGGTAATTGTGGTTCAAGAGATGGAGTTTGACTCTTAATTACATAATGTTTTTGTCCTTGTGCATCATTTGTTGTGGTATAATCATCTATATGGAATGAAAGTACTGGCTCTTTTCCTTCAATTAATGGGATACCACGTGCTGAGTTAATTTTGATAATAATATCTAATGGTTCAGTTGATGTAGCATAAAATGGTATTCTTTGTTGAGGAGGACGAGGGTCAACATAAGAAATTTGGTTATTGAAGAGATTAATAAAACACCATTCATTTTTATAATAATACATAACATATCCTTGAGGAAGCACAACGCTTCTCCAATTTGGGTAAGGGAATGGTGGTTGTTGATCACCTCCTTGTAATGTTAACATAGTTGTACGATTAATATGGTCAACAAAGAAATGGTCAGAAGTACTATCTTTTAAACTTACTTCTTCAATTCCATTAGCAAAAGGAATATTTAATGGAGGAGGAGGATGAACACCTTGGAACGGAATTCTAAAATCATTTGTTCTGTCAATAACATTAACAGGGTATTTATTTATGGCATCAAATAAAACTTGTGGATTAGATGGAGGTTCAGGTGAAATAATAATAGGAGACATTAACTGATATTGTTTGGGTCCAGCTTTTACAAATAATAAAACACTATACTTTACTGTTGCACTTGGATGATCTGAAGTTGGGAATAGTCCAGGTGGTATAACCTCACGAATTGTTTCATTCACTTCATTGGAAATATTCTTTTTAAAAATAGAAAGAAATTTATTTTTAGAAGGAATTGTTTCCAATTTATATTTCTTTAATACTACAGGAATTGAATTTTGAAATTCAACTAATAGTTTTAAAGATGGTTCAAGGTCATATTTGGACTTATTTAATATATGAAAGCTAAAAGAAAGTTCATCACCAATCTTTAAACAAGTCTTATTAAAATTTAATTCCATATCGACATCACTATTAGTTGGAACAGTTATTTTTGCTGGTTGTCCAAGGACATATTTTGGTTCTTTATTGAATAAAATGTAATAAGGAACAACATTTGTTCTTACAAGTTCTGGATAATTAATAGAAATTATTGCTGAAACAGTATAATAAAGTGATTGAGATAAACTAGGGTCATTCACAGAATGTGGGAAATTCTTAAGAGGAATACAAAATGGAAATAAATGTTTACCAGGATGATATTCATAAAAAACATTTCCCATTACTTGATAATCACCAACAATATCTTGTGTATATGTCCAAAATGGTTGTACGTGTCTAGTCATAGAATTATCAACACTTGGTTTATAAGCCCTTCCTACAATTGGTGGAAATGGAATATTAAATTTAGAGTCTGTATTCGTTGACACGAGTCCAGTTAATGTAATTTTTATACTTTTAACTACACACATTCTTACTGCTTCAAATTCAATAACTCCACATAAATTATCAGGTAAAATAATTACATCTGTATGTAATATTAAACGAGCAGATGCTTTTGTTTTAGATGATGACATGTATTATCAAATAGGAGTTTTAGTTTTTTCTGTTAGTTTTTTATGAATTTCTCATTTTTATTTGTCACTTCATCGCATATTTAAGAAAAATTAACAGAAAAATTTAAGAAACAAAAAAAGTCTAATTAATGAAATAGATTGAATCATA